TGATATCATGTGCTATGATCGTTAAATTGTGCTTTTAGATCAACGGCGAAGAGATGCTCAAGCCGAAGATCCTGGTTGCCTGTGACGGCAACAATTCCTGCAAGTGAATTGCTGGCGCAGCTCTATCAGATCACCGCAACTTCAACAGTTCGTATTTCATTTCTCGTCAAGAAGTCGACCAGTTCAAGAATGAAGTTCAACACCGTCAACATATCGACCGTGACAAGGAGCCTGATGACAAGGTATTTTTTGTTCACTCTATTGTTGCACTCATTGATTTCGGTTGAGACTCAGGATGAGGACGTCGACAAGATGCTGGCATCCTGCCTGGCATGGAAGAGTAGTGCTCCCGATCACAAGAAGACCGCCGCTGATATATATGAAACAACTGGGATTTTTGCGTCTGCCTGCCGTCATGGCTTCATCATCAAAGTTTGTGAAATGGTCCGAAGTGGCGAGCTGTGAGTCAGCCTGTGACGTCTAAATTTTAATTTAATTCAAATCTAATGCTGATTAGTGCGAAATATCTGCTTGCCATCACGAACGCTATGATTGATGCCTATGGCAAAGACATTGGCATGGGCTATGATGTAGGATGTACCTTTAGTGGAATTGTGCGCAACAGTCCTCTCCTCAGCCAGAAAGCCGAAGAAGCTCGGATGCAGTTTTGTGTCAATTCATTTCATGGCTACGCTCACAATCGATTATGTCAAGTGCAACATCATCCTCTTTATCTACCTGGTTTTGGCTTAGAGGATCTCGAAACCATGGAGCGCGTGTTCTCGTCATCGAATTCTGTCTCACATGTTATACGCTATGCATCCAGGTACCATTGGGCACAATTCATCGATCTTCACTTTCAACAATGGGACGAAGACAAATATGGTGAACTCAGTGGGTGTTATCAAGGTTTCGCATCATATTGTCGTACTAATACATCATCAGGCAAGTTTCTACTGAACAACTACATGCAAGCTATTGGAATTATCAAGAAATACAGGAACGAGGTATCCAGTCTCGCATCGAGCCTTAACATCCGCGAAGATGATTTTGAACGTTGGATTGAAGAAGAGAAGCATTTTCTGATGGACCTCAAAGATGAACCGGTAGAACACGTACTTGCGTGTTCATACGTTCAGGCACTGATGGATCTTCAATCTGCCGAGTAAGTCATATATTCAATTTTGCAACGTTGTTTTAACGTTTGTGCAGTGTTACAGTAACATGGCACGAGTCCCCCGCCAGCAGACAGCCCTCTGCCACCGCACGGCTATAGATGATAGAGGAGTCTCACCAGCTCTGTGACGACAGATGACGACGACAACGATAGAAGATGATAGATGATAAGCGGCAACTGCCGGCTTAGATAAGCGGTCTGGACCGCACGTGACATGACATGACGACATAGGTCTAGAAGACCTATTTATGTTATCAAGATAGAAGGCAAGCCTCGTGTTGCCTCATGTACTGATAGAAGGATACCACGTGGATCCTATCTCTGATGGAAGCGTACCGCATGGACGCTATCTACGATAGAAGCCCGCCTCATGGACGCTATCTCTGACTCGAGTAGATAAGCAGATTAGAACCCAGCTTCGAGCTGAGCTTAGATACGATAGAGTAGCCTTATATAAGGTCGAAGATTAAAGTAGATGTTCCTTACTTTAATCTTACTAGGTACAACCCAGAAACTAGTCTAATCAACTAGGTTTACCCTTGAACTCCTTGTCCCGCTAAAGCTACTTGCTCGACATCGACTCGTACCTTCAGTGACGCCTCTCACTGTCTGTAAACCCTGCTATCATCTCAGCGTAACCCCTCGTTAACCACCACGAGCTACGTTCGAGTACGCAACCTTTGCTTGTTTGTAAAGGCCGACGACTCTCAGCACTCGGTACCACTGTCGTGGTTGTCGCTGTTAGATTATCCTAGTCGCACACGACCGCTTGTCGTAACATGCAGTCAAAAATGGCAAAAGATCTCGGATTCATTCAGGACTACGTCACATGCACACACCATCAATTACGAACAGAACGTGCGACAAACATCACAATTGGAGGCTCAACGCCGAGCAGCACTGGATGGTTTGATGATACATATTCGTGCAGTCGCAGATCTGGAAGAATGACTTGGCATCAAAGAGAGATGGACTCCCCAGCATCCTGAATATCTGTCAGTGCTTGAGCGAATTAAATCTCATGATTTCAGACGCGCACTTGACAAGTTGCAACAGCTTGTTGTACAGCGTCTACTTGAGCTTGCAAAAGCTAATTTGTCGGGCACAGGTAAGCGGTAGGGCGACAAACCAATCTTTTTTTGTTTGTTTACTGGTTTCTACAGGTTATAAACTTCGTGTTCATATCAGCAAGGCCATCAAGGCACGAAGCAAGGCCATCCGCAATGCCCTTGACAAATACAATAAGCTAGCACCCTCCATGCAACCTCCTGCACCTCAACTCACCTGGAACGATATCGTGAACTATGGATTTCTGTCCGAGTTTGAGTTGCTCAAACACTCGCATTCTCAACAGGACGTCTTACATAAGCCCTGGACAGTTCCAGGCAATCGTGAGATTGCGATGATGTATTTTAAGATGAAGCGCTCGCATGAGGAGTTGACCTGTCTCAATGTAGAGATTCATCGATTGCGTACCTTCATCTGTGATGAAGATATATTTCTTCAAGATCAAGTCGCTTTTTTACACGATGCAGACCCTCTTCTGGCACATGAAGTAGAAGAACTGAGGGTGTGCCGAGCTCGTGTCGATGCTATCCACATTATCCGTCTTGACACTATTGAGGCACTGCCTGAGTTTAGCGGAGTGCGTGGTACTGGTACCATGACATCTGATGCTGGGCTGGACGAGGATGACGGATCACCAGAAGACATAGCGACTGATGATGCCTTCAATGACGATATGGTTCGTCTGGCTGAAGTATTGGAAAGTATTGTATTAGACTGAATACTCTATGTACTTCATGTATCGTAGAATGCACCTGCATCTGCAAATCCAGAAACCCTTCCATTGTCTGGCAGGGACTTTCAAACCGTAAGAGTCAGGGCATTCGAGTCAGAACGACTGATCAATCTATACCTTTGGTTAAGTTTGAAGTGAACATGTCGAACAAACCTGAGACAGATAGGTCTGCCCAATCCGTCTATACCTTTGGTTAAGTTCGAAGTGAACATGTCGAACAAACCTGAGACAGATAGGTCTGCCCAATCTGCGGAATCGTACAGGTATTCCTAAAGAAGGTTCGAAGTCGGGCATTCGAGTCAGAACTACTGATCAATCTATACCTTTGGTTAAGTTTGAAGTGAACATGTCGAACAAACCTGAAACGGATAGGTCTTTCCTAAAGAAGGTTCGAAGTCAGGCATTCGAGTCAGAACTACTGATCAATCTATACCTTTGGTTAAGTTCGAAGTGAACATGTCGAACAAACCTGAAATGGATAGGTCTGCCCAATCCACGGAATCATACAGGTATTCCTGAAGAAGGTTCAAAGTCAACATGTTGAACAAACCTCGAATTGATAGATCTGCCCAATCTGCGGAATCTTCCGCCGGGTATTCTTGAAGATCAAAGTCAACATGTCGAACAAACCTCAAATTAATAAGTCTGCCCAATCCACGGGATGGTACAGGTATTCCTGAAGAAGGTCAAGTTCGAAGTCAACATGTCTAACAAACCCGCTGGCACGAGTCAGTGATTGCAAAGGTGCAACAATTAGACAGCTAATTCATTCCACATAGCCGCATTTACATCTGCATCGGATAGTCTGCTGGTCACGAGTCTCCTTGCCTAGTGCTAAGTTTTGCTTGTTTGATCCAACATCTTATCGAACTTATGTCACTGTTACAGTAACATGGCACGAGTCCCCCGCCAGCAGACAGCCCTCTGCCACCGCACGGCTATAGACGATACCGGAGTCTCACCAGCTCTATGACGATAGATGACGACAGATGACGATAGATGATGATAGATGATAAGCGGCAACTGCCGGCTTAGATAAGCGGTCTGGACCGCACGTGACGACACATGACGACATAGGTCTAGAAGACCTATTTATGTTATCAAGATAGAAGGCAAGCCTCGTGTTGCCTCATGTACTGATAGAAGGGTACCGCATGGACCCTATCTACGATAGAAGCCCGCCTCATGGACGCTATCTCTGACTCATGTAGATAAGCAGATTAGAACCCAGCTTTAGGCTGAGCTTAGATACGAAGAGTAGCCTTATATAAGGTCGAAGATTAACAGTAGACGTTCCTTACTTTAATCTTACTAGGTTTACCCTTGAACTCCTTGTCCCGCTAAAGCTACCTGCTCGACATCGACTCGTACCTTCAGTGACGCCTCTCACTGTCTGTAAACCCTGCTATCATCTCAGCGTAACCCCTCGTTAACCACCACAAGCTACATTTGAGTACGCAACCTTTGCTTGTCTGTAAAGGCCGACAACTCTCAGCACTCGGTACCACTGTCGTGGTTGTCGCTGTTTAGATCATCCTAGTCGCACACGACCGTTTGTCGTAACAGTCACTCTGGTGCGTGTTTTGCGGCTTGCCTCACTGTGGCTGCTATTATACGTCTGATATCTTATTGAACTTAAGTCACTCAACACGTGGTCGTGTTCGCCTCACTGCTGCCATAGCGTATTTAACTCCACTACAGGCCGACACAAACTGCTGCAGCGCAAAATGCGAGCCCCATATTCCCCTCCTGCAATCCGTCAGTGGGTGCAATCCCAAAACATCCAGCCACTGAATTGCGACATTGACTGCCAGCGATTTTCTCGTCGCCGCAGGATTCGCCAAGACAACAAAGATCAATTATCATCTGGCAACCTGTCCTTGCACGAACATTTTTGCCTCAACACAGAAGACTGAGAACTTGCCTTCTATGAGGGCATGTCAGATATCAAAGATGCAGTGCATATTTTTTTCTATGCTAAGATTTACTATCAACTAACAGTACCGACATTAGGCTACAGGCATGGCTCGCATTGCTGATGCACTCTTCATTGGGTTTGGTCTGCGACCCGAGTGGGATCCAAAAAAACCTCTTTGCACCTCTGATATCACAGTTGATGTCGTGACGACACGGCAGTTTGAGCAGGTTCCTCACTTCAAGTGCATCGCCGAACGACTACGAGAAACATTCATCCAGGAAATTGCCATGCTTCACATCTGGCATCTTCAAGACAAGTTGAATAAGGTCGCACCTGGACCAGGGTATCGTGTTGACCCAGAGACTTGTCGGGCAATAACCAGAAATATTCAGCTCACCGCAGGTCAATCCCTCCCCAATGTCGCTCCCCATGCTGCCCAGCGATCACCAGTCACACTAACTCCCACTCGGCATCACTCACAGTCTGAGTCACAGTCACCACGCAATGCTTTGACACCTTCCACAGCAAGATCTCAGCGTGTTGTTGAGCCTCGCACGTCTCACACATCTCCTCGCACATCTCGCATATCTCCTCGCACGTCTCACACATCTCCTCGCACGTCTCACACATCTCCTAGCACCCATGCACGCCAGCCAATATCTCCCAGTCTTCCAATGCAGCACCGTAGCAAAAGCCTACGGTATGGCCAATATAATACTGCTATGACTCGTGGAACAGCAAATTCATGGGTGCCACTCGTAGCACCAGCAACCGTATTTGTGCCTACATCTACACCCCCATCATCATCTTCACGCACTCTTCAACATCGCAGTCCTGTTGTCACTGTTTTCGAATCCAGCTCGGATGATAGCTCTGATGATTCTGATATTGCTGCTGCTGCTCCGCCTGCTCCACCTGCTCCACCTGCTCCGAGTCTTAGCTGTTCTAACCGCCCATCTTGGATTACGACTCCACCAGGGTCACCGTATGGAAATACTGCCGATGAACAACCCCCGCCAGCTTACTACACTAATCCCGATCTGTCATCCTTCAACTTCACGTTACCGGTACAAAACTTTCTTTGCACACACATTGTGTCACCAAGCATGCTGTGCTCAATTGACACTATTCTTGATTACAGTGCTGACTGTTGGTATTCTCGTTTTGTGGAGGTTGGATTGAGTCGCGCGGATGCAATCGAACTGCGTAGGCTAATCGTAGAAGGACTTTCTAACGCAGAGCTTGATGTCGTTCTCATTGGTCAATTGTAAGTAAAACTACTGGAATGAATGATTTATGTGATGCGTATGGCATCATGTTTACGTTGACTATTGACTTTTTCTGAGCGCTCATTAGTAGATCGTTAATTCGCTTGGTTGTCCCCATGCACTATAACCAAACTGAATACCCACTAAACGCTAACTTAGCATGTGAAGTTCCAGTAAAGGGTTGGACTGTATTCTAGGTCAGATTATTTTTCTTCTTCAAGTCGTCAAGTTTTGACTTTTCTACTGCTTGTGTACATGACAATGGTTCCTTCCATCACCCAGAAGAAGAAGGCTGTGAGGACTCATGAACAACGGAAGCTCTCAAAGGCGAATTCTGATGCTATGTGGACCGATATTGAGTCAGGACGCATGAAGTACCTCAAAATCATCGAGTCGCTGTCTGAAAAACACAATATGTATGTCATTTTTTGTTTCGCTCAGCTTAAACTTACTCAGTCTCACGCATAGGTCAGTAGACTGGATGTCAGGTCAGATGTATCTTGGCGGCAAGCTCCTAAAGAGAAACCGAACCGCCGGTGTTTTTAATGCCTTTGTACGCAGAAAGATGCGTGAATGCAAGGAAAACGGTGAGTACATGTTTTTGCATGATTTAACTAACAGTAATATATTCTATTAGGTCTACCCATGGGTCACGATGCACTCGCACTTGTCACTAAGCAAGTCAGCGAGTCTGGTGAGTGGAAGAATCTTGACTCCGAAGACGAAGACGACCTCCTGAAGGACATGCAAGATGAGAAGGAGATGAAGGCTAATATTAAAGTTACTGGCCGTGAAGCAGGGATTGACATTGAGAACACACTGGCTCGTGTTCAGCCAGAGGTAAATTTCCACTTGGTTCTTGCCAGCGTACCACTAATGTCTACTACTAGTTACTCGGCCTCGAGAAGCGTACTGGCTGTAATATAATGTGGATTCTTACCCGCGGCAAAATCAGCAACTCCTTCGTTCCACGTAGCTACGCCTCCGAACCTCTACAAACAGCATTCCTCCACCTGTACAAATCAACCATCGAGTCAGTGGGCATGCAAACTGATGCCTACATCGCATCAGGAGCTGCTGGTGTCGTCAAGATAACAACAGGACGCAGCGCAACAAAGCTACGTGCACAAATTCGGGAAGTGATCCGGGTTGGCATGCGTAAGTCTTTATATATATTTTTTCGTGCACGCGATCGATTCATTAATTGTAATAGACGAAATCTTAACTAAAAAGAGAGGTGTCTCCGAGGATTCAGTCCCCAGTGTGGCTTACAACTCATATGATGCCTTCATCGTCAAATGGGGGGTGGAACTGAGCGGCTGGACAGAGGGTGAAGTCAGGAACCCTGGTACCATCACTTCATCTATCGGTCTTGCGCGTCTCCACGCTGCGCTCAAAAACAATGAATGCTATTGGCACGAGCTTACTCCAGATGAATGGGAGGAAAAGAAGGAGTTGTTCGAGCAGCAAGTTCTCAATGGTACGATCAAAGGACGTGCTACACGTTCCGACAAGGGTATCGGTAGAAAGAGAGGTGCAAAACAGACCTATAAAAGTCGCGAGGTTGTGGATACTGATGGGTCAGAGGACGAGCAGGATGAGCAGGAGAATAGAGATGAAGAACAGGAGGAGATCAACACCCAGAAGCAACTCGATGGAAACCGACACGAAGACACCCGCATCAAGAACGGCACCACTATGACTGATGATATTATGCTGCCACTGGATTCCCTCGGTGGTCTCCCTATGCCTCCGCTCGATTATGACCTGGATCCCTTTGATCCTGAAGCCCTCCGCAAATTCCTCGAGAGCCAGGATCTTCCTTACAAGCCTTTGTGTAGTGCGAGCACAAGCATCCTTCCCCAGACTGACGGTTATGTATTCTAGTCCTTCCTTTCATTTCCTGGCTTTGATACACGAGTTCCCCAGTCCTTCTACTTTAGAGTATTGTGTATAGTGTTTTTTAGATGTTTTATACTAAGAGTCTTATAGAAATAGAACAATTTTGCGCAGTATCTTTTGCTCGTCGTGTCCGATGACGAGCAGCATGGCTCGGACAGCGTCAAAACATAAGTCACGGGACTTGTGAGACGCGGTGAACCATGAGTCACGGGATTCGTTCGTGGGTCTGATTATCTAAGGTTATCTAAGTAATCGTTATCAGGGAGATTATCTAAATATTGTTATCTATTGCTATCTAATCCTCAGAGTATCTAGTAGTACGAGCTACTAAAGTATTGAGGTAACACTGGTGGTATTACTGGTGTAGCGGAGAAATGGATTCGAGGGTTATAACCCTCGGAGGCCAAATTGGGCACCAAGCTATATAAAGGTCGGATCTTATGTCACTCAGGTGATATCAAGCATTGCATGTTTGTTTGGTTACTGTTGAATATCATCGCAAAAAATGAATGGAACATTGTGAACTTCGAGTTATTCATCCTCCAAAAAACTTACATGCAGCAACATCTCAAGGATCAGCTAGTTGAACTGCTCAAAACACTGCCAACTAAGGCTCTGTGCAAAACTACCCACGGAGTTTTTGACAAGTTTTTAACTCGCCCTCACTTTCGAGGGGTTTTTGACATGTTTTTGACACACCCAAAAAATGTGTTTTTCCCAGTCATTTTGACATTTTTTTGCTACTATAATGCAAAGGTCCACTGTATATATTACAGGCCCTCGTGAAGGCATCGGAAAGGGGCCTGACGGAGGCAGACTGGGACATGGAATAGCTGTTACATGATGTATCTTTACTTAGTATTGGTGAATGAACAGAAATTTTGCGAAAACATGCCATGGATTGAAAATTTTTGCAGCGCGCGGATCCGCCGGGCCGATTTTGGAGCCCATTCAGTCACATCGTCTGTATAATACAGGCAGCCGAGGCTGAAAATATGCTGTTCTACACAGGCCAGCGGATGTCGGCCGATCGAATATGTTTGCCCGTGTCTAACCTTCGGCCGGCCGGCTCACTGAGAGATGATTTTTACAGCTGGGCTTGTACACAGTGATGCTCGAGATGAACATGTCGGCTGGTGGCCAGCAAACAAAAGCGGTGGGGTGTGATAGTGTCAGCTGGGCCCATGTAGCAAAAAGTGGCCGTGCATACTGGTCAGCCGATGCAATGACGGGTATGAAGGCATCATGCGGGCCGATGCAGAATATATTTGCCGTGCATATCAATCGGCCCATGTGGACTGCATTGCTTGTGCTTATCAGTCGGCCAATGCAGAATACATTGCTTGCGCGTATCGGCCAGGCAATGCCGGGCATGAGGCCATCCGGTGGGCTGATGGACATAAATTTCTGATGCTCTCAGGTCGGCTGATAGCAATGAATGCATCATGTAATCGAGTGGGCCGATAGAACTGATACTATCAGATGAGCGGATGGAAATATATTGCCGATACCATCAGGTAAGCCGATGGCAATGAATGCCTGATGGAATTGGTTGGGCGGATAGAAATAGCAATATCTAATGGGCCTATCAAAATGAATGCCCGATGTTCTCAGGTGGGCCGATAGAAATAAATTCGTGATGTAATCGAGTGGGCCAATGGAGCTGATACAATCAGATGGGCCTATAAAAATAAATTGCCGATGTTCTCACGTAGGCCGATGGTTCTGAATGCCTGATGACATCGGGTCGGCCGATAAAACTCATAATATCGGATCGGCCGATGGAAATAAATTCCCGATATACTCAGGTCGGCCGAGAGAAATAAATTCCTCATGGATTTGGGTGGGCTGATGGAACTGATAACATCAAGCGGGCCGATTACACATAAATTCCCGATGATATCAGCTGGGCCAATAGGAATGATGCCATCAGGTGGGCTGATGGAAAGGAGTATTCGATACAACCGGATGGGCCGATCAGACTGTTGCAATGAGGTGGGCTAATAGAAATGGATGTGTGATACAATCGTGTGGGCCAATGGGGAGAACCATCTCATGATATCAGGCGGGCCGGTGTGGCACAGGTCTCCCTTGCACATATCTCGGCACACCTCAGCTCGGTCGGTCGGTCGGTCGGTCCCCAGGAAAGATTACTTTCAGCATACAGCATTAAGTCAAATTGATCTATAGCCTTGTAATAAAATTATCTACAAAGGAATATATAACTGTAATCTACCTTTAGAATTCATTACCTGTCCATAGAGGCTGAAACCGAGACATGACTATCTACATCCTTGTATTTCGCATACTGTGGCCGAGGTGTCCCAACAAAATTGTGAAGACTATCACGCATGAACCATGTCCATACCACGCGATCACCGGTGAATGTGACGCCGTGCCTGACAATGTGTCCAGAGCAGGCAACGATGGCACCTGGAGTTATATTGCAACTGTATACCGAGGTTGGACAGGGTCATGAGCCCATCAGAATAATGGCCGACACTTGTCATGACATCGAACCCTTCTGGGGCGGATCTTGGATCTCGGTGAAGAGGGCATTGCCTGTTACAAATGACGGCTGCGCAGTTAAACACCGAGGCCCAAAGTTGCAAACGAGTATATATGTCATGAAGGCCATTGTCCATCGCCCATTCAGCGAGTTTTATCTGAGTGTTAACCGAGGCCCAATACAGCTCTGGATGCATCACTCGAAGAGCTGCCGAGGCAAGGAGTGCCGAGCGCTGCATGGATGTTATGACAGTAGGGCCACATTCCCCCTTGAGTGTAGCCGACACCTCAGGAGCAAATACACTGGTCGGCGGAAACCCGTATGGCTGGAACATGTAAGTAAACACAGCCATGACAGTGCAAGCGGCAAGCCTAACCTCTCGGCCTTGCTGGAACCAACAAGGAGCCATGTTGATGCATCCAGGAATTAGTGGCCCCCGATTGCTATGATGAAAATACCCAGGAAATGTTCGCCACTGGGTCTCTTCTCCCCCGGTCATGCTGGTCTTCAGGAGATGACCCATACCAACGGTGGCCTCTTCCATCTCGGCCTGTTGTGTCAATTTAAATATTGACCTGATGAGCCAAAATATATTGGCTTACCTGAATCCACAGGCTAATCGCGTCTGGAAGGTACCATAAGATGATATGGCCTGCCGGAATCCACAAGAACCGAGGGCTTGTCAAGCAATATTTGAGGACCATGAGGAAATTTTTGGAGGAGCGCCTCTTCATGTTTTGTGAGCCGCCCGGTAGAGCGCTTGTTGAGGGCCTCATTGTACTGAATCATATCAAGATTAAGTTCAACTGCTATATGTTATGAAACCGCCGACCGTGTCGAAAAAAGACTCACTTGGATGTAAATAGGCATCAGCGAGAGCTCGGGCCAACTGCCGACATGCAAGCATGGTTGGCACATCCAGTGCTAGCGGAGGCAAAACCGACTCCAACCGGACACCAACATGGCAAGCAAACAGCTGGTGCACAAAGTCACCGGCAATGCATGTGGTATGCAATGCCATGTCAGTTGGCACAGAAGTCATGATTGAGGGAGAGGGACAGGAATCATTCATTATCGGCTCTTATAGAAAAAGACCAACATATATTTAGCAGCGCTATATACATTTACAGCATATGTACATTTCCGGGCATAAGAATGAAACCGGCGATAGCTCAGCACCGGTCACAGAGTCAGGGCTTTCCAGCAAATTGCTGACGGGAATTCAGGAGCTGTTGTTGAAGTTCAGCGATCGGTGCCTCAAGTTGCGACATGGTGTATGCGGCTGCAGCCGCGATCTGGTGCTTCTGCTCCAGCAAAGGAGACATTGCCTCGCCGAGATGTTGGAGGTGGGTTCTGACCACCACGATTTGATTGAAGAGGGCACCGCCATCCACCTGACCGGTCACAGCCGGACCTGGCACGAGCATGGCGCCCATCAGCTAATAATTCACATAAATAGAAGTCCAACCGGAGAGGAAGAGAAAAATGACCGACCAGTTGTTCAAAGTGGTCTTGAGTCATCTCCATGACCTCATGCACATTCAAGACCGGCAGGTCCAACCCCAACCGGTCGAAGCGATCCTTCCACCAATCATAGCGGTAGTTTGGAACCACACGGTGATTGGAGCTCACTTGAGGGCCGTTCGGAGAACAGTGCAGAAAAAATTCATCATGCAGCTGCTCGGCAGTGATGATCCCAGTCTGGAATCGGGAGAATCGGCCGATCATGGCCTGGAGGAGGTCGGGCATGGTTGGATGAATGTTAAGAACCAACGATACATGTATGTATGGGAACACAAAACGCTGATAAAGGCATTAGTTGCAATATAATATTGGCCGACTGGCCGACCGATGAGACGCTCACATCTACCTCCCATTGAAGGTGCCGGATGAAGCTGGATTTGTATGCCAGTGTCCGAGGTATGTGGTTCTGGTGACAGAAGAGCCAGATGCTGGCGATTCGAGAAGTAGCAAACTCTAAGACATTTGCAACATCCCATGCAGTCAAGTCACTGAGTTCATAGGTGTAAAGAGTGGACGTGTTGGACATGATGTTATAGTTGTGAGCAACAGGGACAAAGTTTTTTGAGCATCGGCATTGTATTGCTGACTAATCCACCCCGGAACTTGCCGATGTCCGCATGCAGTTACAACCTCTATGGACCCCTATCACTCTGCAACTGTAGCCAACCCTTTTGTTCTTTCAAAGCTGTCTTCTGCATGCTGTGAGAGTCGGAGATATATTTGAGCCTGGCGGGCTGCATAGCAACGGTGCCCGACCGTGTGCTCTGTATCGGCCTCCTCCATTCGGCCGACCCATTGTTGGGATTTGTAAATAAAAAACGCCACTGTCCATGTCATTTCGCAACCGACCAGCAGTAGCTCTTCTGCCCAGCGATCACGCAGTGCCAGCGTCCTAAGCCAATGGACATGGTAAACTAAGGTGCAAGTTAATTAGCATCATGCAGGAACATGTAGGTCGGCGAAGTGCAGACATTCGTTCATCCAGTCATTGCTTGTAGAATCTCCTTTGTTACGACAAGCGGTCGTGTGCGACTAGGATAGTTCTAACAGCGACAACCACGACAGTGGTACCGAGTGCTGAGAGTCGTCGGCCTTTACAGACAAGCAAAGGTTGCGTACTCGAACGTAGCTCGTGGTGGTTAACGAGGGGTTACGCTGAGATGATAGCGGTTACAGACAGCGAGAGGCGTCACTGAAGGTACGAGTCGATGTCAAGCAGGTAGCTTTAGCGGGACAAGGAGTTCAAGGGAAAACCTAGTTGATTAGACTAGTTTCTGGGTAGTACCTAGTAAGATTAAAGTAAGGAACGTCTACTTTAATCTTCGACCTTATATAAGGCTACTCTATCGTATCTAAGCTCAGCTCGAAGCTGGGTTCTAATCTGCTTATCTACATGAGTCAGAGATAGCGTCCATGAGGCGGGCTTCTATCGTAGATAGCGTCCATGCGGTACGCTTCCATCAGAGATAGGATCCACGTGGTATCCTTCTATCGTTATCTAAGGCAGCACAAGGCTTGCCTTCTATCTTCTATCAGTCCATGAGGCAACACGAGGCTTGCCTTCTATCTTGATAACATTAATAGGTCTTCTAGACCTATGTCGTCATGTATCGTCACGTGCGGTCCAGACCGCTTATCTAAGCCGGCAGTTGCCGCTTATCGTCTTCGTCATCATCTGTCATCATCTATCGTTATAGAGCCAATGATGCTCTGTTATCGTCTATAGAGCTGGTGAGGCTCCGGTGTCGTCTATAGCCGTGCGGGTGGCAGAGGGCTCTCTGCTGGCGGGGGACTCGTGCCATGTTACTGTAACATCCTTCAACATCGAGGGACCAAAACCATGCCAACGTGTTGTTTCTTTGACCGCGCGCGTTCGGGTCGGCCACCACTGTAGTAGCCTTAAGGTCGGCCTCCTCCAAACGCTGATACCTGGTCAATAATTCATCGGCGCCAAGATCCAGTAGCTGCTTGCGGCATTTGGCATATATCTGTGTGTTTAAATGAAGGACCTTGTCCACTGAGTGCACCCGAGCCCATGCTCTGGTCGAGCATGCTTGCGACTTGGCCGACCGAACCGTGGTGCGAAACAGAACAGCCTTGTCGGCCAGGTTGACCCTGACGGCATGCAATGCATCATTTGCTTGCCCTTCTCTTAATGATATTTCCTGGAGCACCAGGTCAGCAACGCCCCACTGTGCACATCTTTCAATTCCGATGTTGGACGGCAATGGAATCACCACGGTCTCGGGATTGAACTCCACGGGTAGATCGTATCGGTCTCCATCGTCCGACCTATCTGGATCCTCACCTGATGACCCGACAGAATCCAATTCCACTGAGTCCAACATTCCTGTCATGCCGTCCAGATGCTCACAGCTGTTTAATTGATCGCCGAGAAACGTCAGTGCAACCCTGACAAAGTCATCCAGTTGTCCTTGCAATCTGTCCCGACGCCGGGCTATGGCCAGTTTCTGGGTGTCGGTCGGCCGCTTTCCTAACTTTTTAACATCAATCAGGAGGGCTACCTGCGCCTCCTCCAGTGTTATTCCACAAGCCAGCCATGTTGCAGCACCCCAATGGATCTCACCGGCGGGCCACTGTGCCTGACGGTTCAGCAGGTGCAATTCTTGCTGTTTTCTTGTTGGTGCTTTGCGAAAGGATATCAGCATATTAAAAAATAGATGTTGTATTGCAACGGACATTTTGTTAATTGAACTTCATATATGTCCATGGAGCTGGGATTACGCAGTCGGTCATCATGAGTGGCCGTCGCCTCTGCTTCCCATTTGGCAAGGGTGTCATCCTCGGCAGTCTCACTCAACCAGTCGAATGCATGTTGGCTGTCTTGGACTCCCTGCAGTGCCTCCTTGAATTTCCGGGAAAGGAATTTGCCTAAATACAGTTGGATTTGTGATCTTGATAGAATGATTTAC